AATGGTTGTATCTCACAAATATCAAAATGCAAAGAAATCAACAATTCAAAGTGTTCAAAGTGTTCATTCTGGTACTCTCCAATCAAATATGGCACGTTGTGTGAGTCACGTGCTGTTTGGTCGGTCATAATTGTTGCATTTTTTGTTTGTTCTTATTGTTTTGATAGTATTATTGTATCACTTGTCGTTGTAACCAAAAACATTTTCAACAAACTCCACACACACAAAATTGTAAAGACAACAACACTCTTTGCAATGAATATATCCAACATTAACTTTGTTTCTTTCCAAAGCGGTGTTTGTGTTTCTTCAACTGTGATAGACTTGAATTCAGACACTGAGCAGATTGAAGTCAACAAAGAGACTAGTCAAGTGTTGTGTGTAGGTAACACAAACAAAAACTCCACTAAAAAACAGTTTACAATTTCATCAAACATCACAAAGTTTACAATTCGTGTTGATCCAGAAGTTGTCACACTCAAATATGACTTTGCATGTGAGTTCTCTGTTTTTGTCACGCCGTTGTGTTCTTGCAACATCGACAACAATATCCAACTTATTTCTAAAAACCTTAAAATAAACAAAGAGAAATACAACGAAATTATATTTGTTGGTGTGACACAACAATCAACGCGAATTGATTACAATGAATTGAGTGTTGAAAAGAAACTTAATGAAGGCTCGTTTGGTGTTGTCTACAAAGGAGAATTCAGAAGAAATGTCGTTGCAATCAAAAAAGTGAAAATGTTTTAGATGATAACAAGTCACTTGATAAGTTTGAGAATGAAGTGTCAATGCTTGACAAGTTCAAGTGTGAGTATATTGTTCATTTTCATGGAGCTGTTTTTATATCAAATAATGTGTGTATGATCACTGAATTTGCACAATATGGAAGTTTACAAGACTTAATGAAACACAAAACAAGTGATGAAGTTGACATGAAGGTTAGAATAAAATTTATGAATGATTCAGCAAGAATATATCATATTTACACAAAAATGAGATATTACATAGAGACATAAAACCAGACAACATTTTAATAATTTCATGTGATACAAATTATAAAGTAAATGCAAAGTTGACTGATTTTGGATCATCAAGAAATGTCAATATGTTGATGACTAACATGATTTTCACAAAGGGAGTTGGTACACCAAAATACATGGCACCCGAAATACTAAACAGAAAAAAGTACACAAAAAGCGCTGACATATATTCCTTTGGTTTATCTGTGTTTGAATGTATAACATGGATAGAAGCATATTTGAAAAAACAATTTAAGTTTGCATGGGATATTGTCGACTTTGTTGTCAATGGAAAACGCCCGAATAAACCGTCCAACTTAAACGATAACACATACACAATAGTAAACGATATGTAATGTCATAATGTTAACGAAAAAAAAATATAATCAATTATATCGTTACAAAACTGGAAAGCATTAACATTTAATTTAAAGTTATTTTTTAATCTGTGTTTATCATTCAAATACAACAAAATATAAATAAAACATGATGTAATACAAAATTGTTTTATCTTTATTGTTATTATTCAATGAAACATAACACTTCATTCTTTTGTTTCCACGCACTTTTTGGAACATTAATTTTATATTATTTATTACATTGTTGGATTTTTAATGATATTTTTAATAAAGTGAGGCGAACAACCCACACCTGGAGAGAAACCCGCACATATTTTACATTTTCTTCTTTGAAAAATTGTTGAATGAAAAAAGGTTCAATCTCAGTTTTTTGGTTAATTAAGAATTTGTATTATAATTTTAATTACATCTGTTTTACATAATAAATCTTTTTCAGAAATTATTCGAGCGATAGTCATGTTTGTTTCTTTTATTTTATTTCTCGTGTTATATTCATTTTCTAATTGATTTTCAAAAACATAAGAATCAGTTACTTTACTTTCACAGTTGTTTGAAAATCGTTTACCATT